TTCAGGAATTTTTTCAAATTTTTTTAGTAAGCCGTTTTCGAGTTATGGAATTTTGAAAATTGGACAATTTTCATGACTTTTAATTTTTGAATGCTCATAACTTTCTTAAAAATGCATCAATTTTAAAAGTCTTTTTTTTCAAAATGTGTGTTTTTAAACGATATTACTATCAAATTTTTGAGTTTTAATGATAAAAAATCATTTTTCTCATTTGACGTACGGATTGATTTTTTTCAAAATTTTTTCAAAAAAACTACTTCTTTATACGAAGCTGAAGTACGCAACGTTTATATAAACGATTTTTAAAGAAATAATTTTTTAAAATGAAAAATTCTATAATTTTTTGCCTAAAAAAATTTTTTTTGTATAATTTGCTGATTAATGAAAACTACAAGAAATATTTTTTAGGCAAAAAATTATAGAATTTTTCATTGTAAAAAATTATTTCTTTAAAAATCGTTTATATAAACGTTGCGTACTTCAGCTTCGTTTCTTTATTACGAAACTTTTAAGCCTAGCCCGATAATGGGCAAACAATTTTTACAATATTTTCGGAATTTTTCAAAAAATTTTGAATTTAAAATTTTTTAAAAATATTGTTAGTTTTGTATTTTGTATTTTGATGCGCTGATTACGAAAATCATAGTGACAATACCCAAAAATTTGATTTTCATGGTGAAAACCATAAAAAAGTCCCAAAATTTATGGTTTTTTTTTCGTTTATTGGGTAAAATATGCAAAACCGAAAAAAAAATCTTAGACAAAAGTTATAGATCTTATTAAAATACATTTATTTATATCTAATGCATTTTTTTCAGTTTTGCATATTTTACCCAATAAACGAAAAAAACCATAAATTTTGGGACTTTTTTATGGTTTTCTCAATGAAAATCAAATTTTTGGGTATTGTCACTATAATTTTCGTAATTAGCGCATCAAAATACATAAAAGCACGTAGTATAAAAAAAAAACTAAAAATATTTTTTAAAATGCAAAATTCAAAATTTTTTGAAAAATTCCGAAAATATTGTAAAATTCGTTTGCCCATTATCGGGCTAGGCTTAAAAATTTCGTAAAAAGAAGTAGTTTTTTTGAAAAAATTTTGAAAAAAATCTATCAGTACGTCAAATGAAAAAAATGTCTTATCAATTAGTACTAAAAGAAAAAAAAATCTCAAAAAAATCGGAGATGCAAATTAAATGAAACATTTTTTTTATAATATGTATATTATATTTATATTATAAATTTTACATAAATTTATAATAATTTATATTTACATATTATTATATTCATATATATTATTATATTTATATTTCCAAAATAATCACTTTTCAAGTAAAAACAATTGTTTATTTAAAAAATACAACAATAAATAATGAAAAAAAAATCACTTTCTTTCTGCATCACCAAATAAATTGGTTTAATGATCAAAATTTTCCTTATTTTTCAAGCTTTCATACCGCACAAGAAAAATAATGTATTTCGGAATAGTTAAATCACAATTTATTAAACAATGTTTGTTTACTTTTTTGTATTTTATTTACTGTGAAACGTCTGCTAACGCTGCGCACGACGTTCGGAAGTTGTCACTCTCGTTATTGAGCAGAAGCTTATTACACTAGCGTAGTAAAAAACATGTGTGAAAAGTGAGGTTTTTTAATATTCAAAAATGTTTTTTATGATTTTTTATTGCAAAGTAGATTATTAAAAACCATTCAATTTGATAATCAGAAATGTTTACGTTTCGTTCAATGACAACATAACCTCACTTTTCACACAACATGTTTTTTACTACGCTAGTGTAATGAGCTTCTGCTCAATAACGAGTGGGACAACTTCCGAAAGTCACGCGCAGCGTTAGCAGACGTTTCACAGTCAATAAAATACAAAAAAGTAAACAAACATTGTTTAATAAATTGTGAGTTAACTATTTCGAAATACATTATTTTTCTTGTGCGGTATGAAAGCTTGAAAAATAAGGAAAATTTTGATCTTTAAACCAATTTATTTGGTGGTGCAGAAAAAAAGTGAATTTTTTTCATTATTTATTGTTGTATTTTTTAAATAAACAATTGTTTTTACTTTAAAAATGATTATTTTGGACCTTTATATTAATAAATATTATAAAAAAAAGGTTTTTCATTTAATTTGGAAAGGTTACTCCGAAAAGTGAAAAAAAACTCATGGAATGGCACATATATATATGTATATATATATATATATATATATATACATATAGAAATTTTTTTGGGATTTTTTTTTCAGATGGAATTGTGGGTTTTTAAAAAGAAATATAGTTTATTTGTGGTATAACCCTTTATTAATGGAAACGAAAGTAGATTGCGTATCGATTTCTTTATAGCATATATTTAATTTGAATCTTGTGTTGAGTGAGGCTTGAATTATATCTATAGAACTGACATTGAAACAGAGCTTTTGATGCAAGTAGAGGATGTGATATGTATCCTCGTGTCTGACAGCATCGGTCTGTAACTACTATCATACCCTTTAAAGATCAGACTTTGAGTGGAAAGGAGGGATGAAGAGAGAGAGAGAGAGAGAGAGAGAGAAAGCTGCATTGAGAGACTCTTTGAATATAGTGCCCTCCTTTTAAAAACGTCCTCAGGGTGAACCATTAGTATGAAAAAAAATACTCACAAATCTAAATTTTTCTTTACCTTCTTTAGATTCTTCTCATTTACTCGTTTTTATATTTTCAATTAATTAGTTCACAATTTTTCTTTTAATTTTTCATCGCACAATAAACTGTATATCTATATATTGTGCTTCTTTTATTTATATACACAATTTGTCGCTTTTTTTTCTTAACTAAAAAATCCTTTTATTTAATTCTTTATAAAGGGTAGATTAATTTGGAACTGAATTAATAATAATCAATTATTATTAGAATTTTCATTTTAATTGAATTTTGTTATAATTTATTTTTTTAGACAAATTTTCATTTTTCGAATTAGAATTGATAGAAATTCTTTTTAAATGAATTTTTATTTGCACTTTTTAGTTAATAGAATTCATAAAAATGTTGAATTTTCATTTGACCGAAATTAAAAATGTCCGAATAAACATAACCTACAAAAAAAATTGTGGCGCGAATTTAAAAATTGACCAATCACAATTTTCTATATATATATAATTTATGATTGGAGAATTTTTAAAATTGAGCCGAAATCTTTTTTCAAGGTTATGTTTGTTTGGACATTTTTAATTTCGGTCAAATAAATAATTAGCTCTTTTTTTCTTATTATATTTGTTATCTGCGAAATTAAAAAAAAAAAAAAAAAATCAACTTAAAGTTCTATTTTTATATGTAAGGTTAAAAAAATAAACTTGCATATAAATAAAGCTTCAGATAACAAGAATCGCCAGTTGAATTTAAATTTATTTTCTAACTTTACTGGAATTCAGTGTATAATGAGAAGATAAATTAATTTAATTAGAAATTTAATTTCGTATTATATTTCATTGCGAATAATTGTTAAAATATTTTCTCTTTTTTATAAATGATTTTTGTTATATTATCAAATTACAATTTATTACAAAATGATAATAATAATAATTGTTTTAGTATTATTATTATTATTAGATATAAATGAATTAAATTTTGGGAGAATAATTTCAAATGCAATAATTTGCATTATTATAATTATAAGTTAATTTAACAAAAAAAAAATGGTGTTTTATTATTTTTGAGAAAAATATTTGAAAATTATTTTAAATGCGAAAAAAATGTTTTAAATATTTTTAAAGTGCCAATTTCCGCCTACACACTCAAGAGTAATATTGTAGATCATAATTATATATTCAAAGTAGTCTTCGACCTAATTAACAAATTAATTAATTAATTAATTCAAGGACAATGAGAAGGCTTTATGAAATTGAAAATTTTTAACAGAAAATCCTTTGCCGGCAATTAGAATTCAATTTAATTAAATTAATTTTTTTATATTATTTTTTTAGCTTTTGATTTTACAAAAGAAAAGTGAAATAATAAATACAATTATTAAATAATGAGAATAAATAATATTAATAATAACTTGAAATTTGTCCCAATCAATGTGGAATAATATAATTAATTGATTTAAATTATAAATATTATTATTTTAAAAATTATTAATTATTAATAGATTTAAAACTATTAAAAATTATTATTATTTTAAAATATTAATATTAAAAATATTACTATTGAGGTTAAGATAAAATGTCATTATTAAATTATTTTTTTTAGCAACATTTTTCGAAAAAGTAATGTTTGAATACTTTTTTCAGTCCCAGTGAAAAAAAAAGTTTTAAACATTTTTTTTTTTTTTCATAATCTGAAGTTGACTGAATTACAAGCTGGAAAGTTAAACGATACTGCTCTGTATAACATTTAAGATTATAAGTTGAAGTTTGTATTTTTGGTTCAAGATGTTTAAAGTCTTTATCTGAAGGAGTTAAACTTATCTTCTTATAGTGAGCTTAAAGTGTATGAAGTTTAGGTTCACTTCAGGTATCCAAAGTTTCTTAATTAATTCACTCTGAAGTATAGGGCACTTTGTATATAAGCTTTTTCGGATTTATATATATAAAAGAGCTTTGTTGGATCTTAAAATTTATTGTTAGTTTAGAAGGTTAATTAAAAATCATTAGTTAGAATCGTTAGAATTTTATTACTGAATTTTTATATAACCGAAAATTCACTTCACTGAATTTTTATTTTGTTCGAAAATTTTATCAATTAGAAATTCTGTTAAATGATTTTTCGATTAAGTAAAAATTCTGTAGTATGAAAAATCGGTTATATGGAAATTCTATTAAATAATAATTCGAATAAATGAAAATTTATCTGAAAGAAAATTCTATGCAATGAAATTCTATCCAATAAAAATTTCTAAAAAGAATTGAAAAATTAGAAACATGTGTAAAAATCGAGATTTTTTTTTTTTTTTAATGAAACGTCTCATAAATATATATTTAATGTAATTTTTTTTGCTTCTCAGGATCTCCTGCAGATAATGCAGACAGTTTAGAGGTGGGTGACGAGATCCTTGAGGTCAATGGACGAACCCTGGAAAACGCGACTCATTCCGAGGTTATTCAATATATTCATCAGGTAATTGACAATTTTTCAAATTAGTTTTAGCAATTTATTTTTATAAAAATCTGGCTGAAAATAATTAAATTTATTTTTGGAAAAATACATTTTTCTTGGTTTAGTGTTTTTTTTTTGTGGAATAAATCTTTTTTTTTTCATTCTTTTTAAAAATTATGTGACTGTAAAAATAAAATACTTTCTCAATGAGGAAGTGAAAAACTTTTTTTTATTGAACTACAAGCTGTGTTGGAGGATTTTTTTTTTTTTTTTTTTTGATACGTTAGTATTTCTATGGAAAATAAATCCGAAAAACTTTTTTTTATTTTTCAATGCAACAAAACAGTAAAACAGGCATGCATCAATGTATTCCCCCTATACTTTAGAGCTTTTGGAATTTTCGTAGTGTCGAATTAAAAATTGTCAAATTTTTTATTTAACAGAATTTTATAAAGTATATATTTTTATATATTTATAATATATTATAATAATAATATTTATATTTTTAAACAAGGCGAATTTTCATATTGAATAAAATTTTTATTTAACTGAATTCTGATTTAATAGAATTTCTAAATATACCCAACTGAATTTTTATATAAAGCAGATTTTCGAATATAAAGGAACAAAAATAAAAGTTTACAAGAAATATAGAAATATAAGTCTATAAATCTGAATTAATGAAAATTTTAACCAATTTGAATTAGTGACTCACTTTTTGCTTTTGAATTAGTAAAATTTAACTAATTAATAGTGCCATTTTCGGAGTAGAATTAAGGTAAATGCACTAGTAATCGTCATCTTAAGCCGAATTGACAACTTTAATTGGGTATTAAACAATGTTAAACGGTATTTCTAAACTAATAATTAATATTTAAGAATAAATTAAAGTCTAAAGAAGCATAATTAACTCTTGTTTTTTAAAAATAGTATTATTGTTAATAATTATTTATAAATAAAGTTCGTAACATGCAAATGTGTTAGTTATCGGCAAGGATGAAAACTAATTGCCTTAGTGATCGTCAAGTAAAAGTATTAGTAATCGGCAGTGATATTAAAATATGAAAACAAACTTTTTAAATTGATTTTCTTATATATTATAGTATAATTATAGCAATTTACTGTTAGAAAAATCTGTATTATATTTAATATATTGTATATGAAGCAAATATGCAATACTAGAAATGAAATTTAATATACATTTACATTCAATTTAAGGTTATGTGACTGTTAGGTATGTAATGTTAATTTTCAGTAACTTTTCTCATAAAATACTGAATGAATTGAGTTGAAATTTTATGGAGAAGTTCCAAATATGATAAAAGGAATGGTTGTCAAGTGCGAAAATGTTGATATATTGTTAAATAATTATTATAAAATACTTGAATAAAATAATTCTATATAATTAGAAAATGTAGGGTTAGGAGTGTCTGCGATTTTCTAACAATTTTTATGCCTTTTATTATATTTATTTAACAATATATCAATATTTTCGTACTTCATAACCATTCTTTATCATATTTTAATTTCCTCCACATAAAATTTCATTTTACTTAGTCCATTCAGCATTTTACGAGATAAGTTACGGACAAATTAAAATTACAGACCTAACAGTCACATGACCTTAATATACTATACTTTTCTATAATAAATAAATAAATATAAAATTTAAAAAAAATAAATAATTTTAAAAAAGAAAAAAATTATAAAAAATATGAAATTATAAACAAATTTTTAATATAATTAAACATATTTAACATTAACAAAAATATTTTTCTTAATTTACAGAAATACTACACAAAACCTACATGTTTTAGTTTTCGACAGCCTCCTGCTTTAGTTATCGTCATAAAAGAAAATATAAAATAACTTTCATTTCATCCAATTTTCGGTTGACCATAACTAAAATCTATTAATATTATAATATACAAAATTTATTTTTACATTGAAAACAAAGGTTTTTAACATCACTCAATAAAAAAGTCAGTTGTTCATGTACTTAAAACTTTTTAGTTATCGTCATCTCTGATGATTACTGACACACGATGAATTTAGAGTTTTAGTTATCATTTTCCTTAATAATAAAATAATAATTTAAATATTAACTTATTTTTTTTAATCCATCAATAGTAGTTTTATTACTTTATGATAAAAACATAAGCTTAACTTTCAATTCACTTTACACTACTAACCACAAGTTATTTTGTATATGTCATTCGCCTAAGCAGAACTTTAAGAAATGCCGAAGATCTAGTCAGTACGTGGCCTTGTCACGAAAAAATATACTTTTTTAATTAAAAATTTACTATTTACACGACGAATTTGTATCCTTTCGATGCCGAAAGGTTTTATTTTATCAAAACACACAATTAATAACACAGGAAAGTTACATTAATCTTATTTTTTACAATATAATGTACTAGCTGCCGATAACTCATGTACTGACGATTACTGGTGCATTTACCTTATGTTATATATAGTAAGACTAATCTTTAACGTAAATTGCAGCTTAAAATATTTGTTAGTTTACGAGATTTGCAATAATAACAAAAAAATTTAAACTGCTATATCTTCCGTTTTAATAATCGGATTGAGGTCTACTTTTTTTTGAAATGTCAAGGAAAATGAGAGGAATAAATCTCTTTCAGAACAAATTTTGATAATTTTACAACTAAAAAAATTATTAAATAATAATTGAATAAATTTCAAGTGACAATCTAAAATTCAATCACTTAAATGCTAAAATGATCTTACCAGTGTTTTCTTTAATATTCCAAAGGAATCCAATTGTGAATGCAAGTTTAACTTATTTAATTTTAATAATTTACGAGTATAAACAATTACGATTTCTGCTAGTTGGCGTGCAGACGACATTGCGCACGCAGCTAGCATTCTCATGTAGCCAATTTAGTCCACGAATCACGTCAGCTGGTTACAGGAGAATGCTGCGTGCGCAATGTCGTCTTCACGTCAACTACCAGAAATCGTAATTGTTTATACTCGTAAATTATTAAAATTAAAAAAGTTAAACTTGCATTTACAATTGGATTCCTTTGGAACATTAAAGAAAACACAGGTAAGATCATTTTAGCGTTTAAGTGATTGAATTTTGGATTGTCGCTTAAAATTTATTCAATTATTATTTAATAATTTTTTTAGTTGTAAAATTATCAAAATTTGTTCTGAAAGAGATTTATTCCTCTCATTTTCCTTGACATTTTTAAAAAAAGTAGACCTCAATCCAATAATTAGAACGGAAGATATAGCAGTTTAAATTTTTTTGTTATTATTGCAAATCTCGTAAACTAACAAATATTTTAAGCTGCAATTTACGTTAAAGATTAGTCTTACTATATATAACATAATTCCAAAATTTCATTGCAATCGGTTAACCTACTCTGAAAAAGTCAAAATCTCACCTAAAATCGTACAATAATAAAAAAAATTTTATTTACTATTAATTATTGTCTCTTTATTTATTGATTATAAGATTTAATTTTTTCAACTTTTACATAACAAAATCTGATAAACTAATTTATTTTTTAGTGCATCAAATCAAGAACAATATGCCTTCGAGTAAGAAGAAAAAAAAGTGGCAACAAGATGGGTAAGTGTTGTTTAAAATTAAAATTTCTCATATTTATACAAAAATACAATAGACGGTGAAAAGGACTCGTACATTTTTTTTTGTTTAAACGATTTTCTAGACTCTTTATTTATACTTCAGGCCATTTACATATATATAAAGGTCTCTGTCTGTAAATTAAAGGGATACATAGGAAGAACATTTTAGTCGTTTCATTTTCTTCCTTTTGATTAGATTCTAAATCAAAAATAGTAATTGAAGACCTCAACTTTTAAATAGTTACTAAAATTTTCATCAAGAAATATTTCTCTAAAATTTAAAAATCGTTAATTTTAAGATATAATATATGGAAACAAATTTCTGATAAATTATGATAATGATGATGTTAAATTGAATCATAATTTAATTTCTTTTTTTTATCATATAATAATATTGAAAATAATAAAGGTGGCTTTTTAAAAATCTACCCCAAAATTTATAAGGTAAGAATAAGTTAACCACAGAATTTCCTTGAAGCTTAAAGTTGAAAGCACTTTGCAAGGATTTAATGGAATTAAATTAATTTTCCGTGAAACAAATCTCTTCTTAAGATGCGGGGATAGAAGGAATCTCTTTGATAGTAAAGAACATTTTCTTTATTGTGGCATTATTTTATGGTGAAGTAATTTGTATTACGGTGTTTCATCAAACTAAACGAATTTTCGAAACTTTCATGGAAATAGAAAAAAAGAAGTATTGCAAAAAGTAAAAAATAAAAGTTATAATATAGCAACGATAAAGAAAATTGTCGTTTAAATATTTTTTTTGAATAACATAAAATATTAAAAATTCCCTGAATTTTGTTTTAATAAAATTTTTTGTTTTTAATTTTATTAAATTTAAAATATAACTCACTGTTATTTATTTATTTAATGAAATTAATGGGAAATAGATATACTATTATGTATATTTAATGGTTATCCGTTGAATTTTATTAATAAATATATTATAAAACGCGTGTTCATTTTACGCAAATATAAATCAATATCGACGAAACAATGGTTAAATTCACTCTTTGCAAATAATTATTTTATCATTATAATATAGAATGCGAGGAAGGAAAATTTGTTCCGGATTTTTTGTGAAAATTCTTCTTTGTATTACATCATCCATTAAAATAAATTCAGGATGTTTACTGGAACAGGAAAAATTGGGAAATTGTCGGAAATTTAATTAACCGGAAAGAGCAGGAATTATCCAGGTCTTTTTACTAAAATTTTTTTTAAGTAAATTTTATTTTTCTCAATTTTTGATTTTTTCTTCAAAGTCTCGTTTTTTTCCAATAGATACTTAAAACTATATTAATTTTCTTTTTTCGACAATTTTTTATTTTTACAAATTTTCGATTTTATTTTCAATTTTCCCCTCTTTGTTTGGTAATTGTTGGAATTTATTTATTTATTTTTACAAACTGTCCAAAAAATTTTCAATTTTCTTTTCCAAATTTTTTTTTTCTTTGGCAATTTTTAAAATTTTTAATTGTTCTTCTCTTCAACATTGTATTTATTTACCTAAATGTTTTAGACTATTTTCTAAAATTTTCTGGTTTTTTTATTCTTTTTCAATTTTTCTATAAATCTACGATGCTGAAGTTCATATTGTTTATGATCAACGATTAGAAAATAAATTATTTTTTAAAACTATGGATGTAATTTTTTGCATCGGATTATGTAACTTTAGTAGTAAAAGTAGAGACAAAATTTAGGAAGTGCTGCAGGATATTTTCTATCTGGATCATCTGAAATCAAAAACAGCAAAATATTTATTTAATATATGATCAGATCTTGTTTTTTTTGTTTTTTTAAGGTATGACAAAATATTACATGTACACAAAGTTGCAGCTTCAAAAAAAATTTTAATTTCTTTTTTTAAACCTGCTATTTTGTGTAAATCTAATATTTTTTTTATTCCTTCGATTAAAGATAAGATTTGATTTTATATTAACTAAATATTTTTTGTTTTTGATTTCACAGAAAATTATAAGGTATTAAAATAAGCTGCAACGCTTATTATTTTAATCCAATTTTGCTTATTTTAATCCATTTTGGTATTAAGATAAGCAAAATTGGATTAAAATAATAAATTTTAATGCCTTTTAATTTTCTGTGTTAACAACTTTCATTGCAAAAAATTCTTAAAAAATGGCTATTTTTTGACCTCCTGGTATCATAACAAGTTTTATTTAAATGCGTTAGCTTACTCTGAATTGTGTTTAAAAAATACATCTGAATTGACTACAATAAAAGAATAATATAGTACAATAAAAGAAATATATAAACTTAAAAAACAATTATTTTCATAAAATGTAGTCAATTTTTGTTGATATTTCTAAATTTATTCATGCTTACAATAAAAAAATTTTAATTTAACAAGAGAAAATAAACTGCGAAAAATTAGGAAATAATCGGAAGTTTTTCACGGTGCTCCTGAGTGAATTTAAATAAAATTTTTAGCTAACTAAAAAATAAACTATAAAAAATTTCGATGCAAATTTTGTTTCTATAAGTGGTAATAGGATGAAGAAAACATAAAAAAAATCCACTTGGCGCTTTTTTTTAATAGCAAAAATAAGTTTTTATTGATAATTCGCGTACAAAACTATAAAAAATTTGCGATATACATCTGTCATTCTTTTGTTTTTAAACTAATTTTATCTCTTTTACATCTCTTATGTAAGCATAACCTAACATCAAATTTCATTTTTAGACTATTTTACTTAACGTAAAACGTAATTCTATCCTTTATTAACCTAAAAATAAGTTTACAAGGTAATACATCAAAATATAGTTGTTTAACCCCTTGACAGTCGATGGTCCATATATTATGTCCAAAAAAAAAGTCGTGCCACCTTTGTGACTTTTGACATTATCTGTCCACATTAGAAAAAAAATACTAAACATAATTCGATTTGAGTGTCAATGAATATACATACTAAGGTTTTCGGGATCGCTGAATCCGAATTTGAGGTCAGATTTAAAAAAAATTCAAAATGGCGGACCCAATATGGCGGAAAATTTTTAAAATTGATTCGATTCGTTCAAAATTTGGGTTTGGTGGGTTTTTGGGGTCTCTGAATCCAAATTTGACTTCAAATTTGGATTCAGCGACCCAAAAACCCCCAAGTACCGAATTTTATACGAATTGAATCAATTTAAAAATTTTCCGCCATTTTGAATTTTTAAAATCTGACATCAAATTTGGATTCAGCGACCTCAAAAACTTTTAATACGATGATAAATGATATTTAATTGGAAATTTTTTTTTTTTGAACCGTTTTGGACCCACAAACGATTTTTCTACTAGACTGCGAAGGGATTAAGAAAGATTATTAATTTAGGTATATACTTAATTTCTTTAGGATGTTCCTTTTGAATTATAAGAAGTCTGGGAATTACAGTGAAAACCGTTTAAAATTATGTCTGCTTTGCTGCAAAAAAAATTAAGAAAATGCTTATTATTCAAAATAAAATTCAAATGAAGCTATAAAGGTATTGCTGCGGATCAATTTGATTTTTCTGATGAAAGTTTTCCTAATGTGATATGTTTTGCCTGCAATTTTTCTGTGGATAAGGCACTAAAAAATAAATAACAGAAACAGAAAATTAGTTTAAAAACAAAAGAATGACAGAGGTATTTCTCAAATTTTTTTTCTATATGGGGCATTCTATGGGAAATTTTCATTGAAAATTTTTTTTTGTCCGAAACATTTTTTTCGAAATCTATATGAAAAATAAGGAAATACTTATTTTTTTATTTGATGAAAATGATGGAAGTTATGATTTTTTGAAATTTAACGTCAACGAAGAAAGTGTGTTTTTGGAACATTTTTTAATCTATTGTACTAAGAAATTAAAAATTATGCTATATATGAAATTTGTTCATTTTTCTCAAATTTTTCAAATATGTGCTCAAAAATAACGTACCTATAACAGAAGCAACAAAAAAGTTGAAATTAAACTTATAAAGTGAGTTTTCTCAAAGATGGACACTTTCGATTTTTAATTTTTTTTTTTGCATTACAATATCTGATGACTGAAGAATTTTTTCCCCTATCTGCGAAAGTATGGTACTTTTAGTTTTTAAATTACTATTTACAATTTTTAAGCTTGACGCAACGATTTTTAGTATGTTTTTATGAAAATTAAAAAAAAACAAATGAATGTTAATGGAAAAAGGTTATATTTACTATATATGCCCCATATATAGTTTTGTACGCGAATCATCAATAAAAACTTATTTTTGCTGCCAAAAAAAGTGCCTAGTGGATTTTTTCCTTTTTTATGTTTTCTTCAACCTATATTATACAAAATTTCCTTTGAAATTTTAGTTAAAAATTTTATTTAAATTCACTCAAGAGCACCGTGTTTGTTGAATGATATTAGTAAACACACTGCATCTCCTATCCGTTAAAAGTTAGAAAAATCACTAATATCTGTAACTGTTTTTCTAAACCCAAGTATACAATCACTTCTCTTTTACTCCGTAATACTTTTTAAAGATGCACAGTTTTTTTTTTTCTGAACCTTGAAAAATCCGTTATAATAAATATAAATTTACATGTAAAACGTATATTTCAAGTGAAAAATCACCTTCACTTGGTGGTCACTCTTGAAACTATGCTATTATAAACTTGCGTGAAACTTTTATATATATATACATATATATAGATTCGAACTAAAAGAGCGCCGTTTCATCGGTAAATTCCGACAGAATTCGTGTTGGTTCGACAATCAGGTTCGTCAGGTAAATACCCCAGGTGAGCAGGAGTAGGAGACGGTGTGGTCTCCGCGAGAGGAGGCAAACGAGAATGCAACCTTCGAATCTACCTGGTGGTACCTACAACCGGTAGTGTGGAATGGTCGATCGTGCTAGTCACCGCGTTAACCGGTACCAAACTCATCCCTCGTGTCCACGTTTATCAGAATTAATTCTCATAATATTCGAAAAAATAAATAACAAAAAAAAAAAAAAACTTCATATAC